ATATTTATGCTTGTTCGTAAAACGAAAAATTTCAATATACATATTGTGAAAAAAATCTAAAAATAAGTATTTAGTAATCATGTCTTTAAACACGAAAATGAAATTTGAATAATATTAAATCCATCACATTTTATGCCAAATTATTTAAAAAACTAATAGAAGTATAAAAATATTTATTTGAAAATACGGTAGTATTTTTTCTATGAAACTTAGCATACATTTAATATACTGGTATGCAACATTTTTAAACTTTCTTTGCATTGTATACGCATCACTTTTTAATTCTTATCATAGATTATTTGTTTTTTTAATAATTGAATAATTTAAACTGATGACATTTATAAATGTCAAGTTTTATTTTGTCAAATAAAGTAATGATAATAACGTATGTAACTTATCAACCAACCGAGATGACTTGTAAAACATTAAATTAAATATTGTTTGCCAGATTATCGGTTACTATACAATACATATTTGCATAGCAATAGTCAATTATTTAATCTGAATGCTGTAGATACATTAATAAATTAATACGTTAACACTGATGCGTATAACCGCGTAAAAAAATATAATAAGTGTCATTTGACATAATTCACTATTATTTATGAAGCCATTAAAAACATCATCGCGATGCATGTGATGGGCCTTCATTATTATTTTAAGTATTTCGGAAAATATACGACCAGTGAACAGAAAAAAGGGGAGGAGGAGTTTTTATATGATAAATCGATATTGATAAAATAAAGAGTTTAGTGTATTTATACATATAATATATACTGTATGTGTACACATAAAGATTTCGTAAACAAGGAACGCCTAATGGTCACGTTGTGTCTTGCTCGCCGCCGTTCATCCGTGACCCTTAAAAATAAAAAAGATAAGAAATTTTTTTTTTCACGGACTCTTTTATCCGTGAGAATCGATGACGTAACTATACAAATATTTGAATACGTACAATCGTGTTGTACCTGTTGTCGTTTTTTCTTCTCCCCCTCATCATTGGTTTACACTAATATGATAGGTATATAAACATGTTGGAGCAATCAAACGTGCCGGAGGTCAAAATTACAACAATGGTAACTCGCGTATTGAGATAGAAATCCAACATAATAAAAGTGACACTAACTTTATTTTTATTATTTATATCGATGCGTACTAATTGCGTGTGATGAGATAATACGAAAAAAGTCATATAATCGTGACATTATGGCGATTGAAAAATAATATTTAATTACGTGCAAGACAAAGAGCAAACGGAAGTATTTAAATTAAATTGAATAAATATAAATCTAAATTTCTTGAAAACAATCACATTTAACGGGCAATACAAAAACATGGTAGCCAAAGCCAATCGAGTCATTTGTTTAACAAATTTACAAATGTTACTAAGTAATATAAATCTTACTCAAAACATTGTACTTCCTTGTATGTAAAATATCTGAAATTTAACTAAAATTAGATTTCTACACCTCCATTTAAAACATTCTACGAAATAATCTCATAAGAGTTATGTGTACATATATAAATAATTTCTTCAATGGATTACTACCGTTTATTTGAAATTATATGATATACATATATATACAGGCAGTGTCGGTTAAGGTCCTTTTACTCATACCTCTTAAATTTCTAAGAATAATTATTGATTACAATGATTGTTCATTATAATAATTTTGTATAATTGTTATCTAATTATAAATCACTTGATCCCTGACAGTATATAACTTTTATTTCGTTATCAGAGAATCGTATTAAGTGAAAACGTATAGTTCTTTTTACATTCTATTCAAAACGATCGCACAAGAACAAATACACTTTATGTACATTACCATTATCTACACAAATTATTTAAGAAACACTTATCCATAACGACGATGTTGTTATTTTAATATTATTATTTTTTTATTTTTTTTACCGACTTCTTACCATAACACACATTTTGAACGATAATATACCCAGTAAATATATTAAAAAATATATTAGCTGTTCATGTATTTCACCTGAAAATTATGATATGTTAGACTAAAAAAATACTCACAAAAAACTATGAAAATATCTAAAAATTACAAGTTCAATTTTGATCATAGAGGAGTATACATAATTTGTTGTACAATGTATTAAATTTGATAATTGATATTTTGATAAAAACAAAAAAAAAATGTTAACTTAAATTTAATTTCCTTTAGATCCCTAAGCCTATCTTAAAAAGTAATTTTGACAAATCTTAAAATAACCATTTATAATTTTTTCAGATTTGATTAAAATATAGTACGATTTCATAGAAGTAATATAGGAATAAATGGAATAATAATAACGGACAAGTTTTTTATATTATACGCTCTTGGTTAAATACCTGCCAATGAATTTAGGAGATGAAAACATTTTAATTTAACAATAATTACTGGAAAATGTAGTCAATAAATAACGAATTAGATACCGGCAGAAAAAAATAAATACATTGTCGTTTATTATCAAACATAAAAATAAATGAATCGTTTATCAAGACTTAAGTCCTTAAGATTAATGAAAGTATACAACTAAAATACATCGACCAACAATGTCTAAAGAATATTTAAGTTTAATTCACTCGGAAATCGCATTGTAAAATTAATAAGTCTACTTAAAAATAGATATTATATTTGAATTCGTTCATCATATTATACTCGACTAGCGTTTATCAAGTAAAAAAAACTAGAGTATAATTCAAGATTATTATATAAAATATACAAATTCACGTAATAAAATATTATCATTTACTATTTATACATCAAGTTGGTTTTTATGAGGGTTTTTATTTGCTAACATAATAACAGGTAAATTTTTAATAACATTTAATCGTCTTAAAAATTAATTAATTGTGTTTATTGAATACAATGTACGTGTATTATAGACTAGCATATTCGCATGCACGTAATATTTTATTATAACACCTTTTTTATAGAACCTATAATAATATAAATTTCCATCAATGAACATAAACTTCTCCTGACTACGCTATCAAATCGTTTGATTTACTTTTACTATAATAAGAGTCATGGAGAGTACAAACTTAACGTCATCTATAACAATATGGGAGTATAACGTCTTATTGAAAATATTATTATTACTTTTGCGTATGAAAACAATGTTACTTTTACTAGCATTGATTACAGAAACCAATTTAAAAACATTCTACACGACTCTCATCCTATACATAAATACTACACGAATGAACACGTGTGAAAATATCTGCGAAACTTATCGTTATATCATCATCATTAATATTTTTTTACTTCATAACTTATGGCTTTAACGACTGATACACGAATTATTTTTATATTTACAATCGCACACATATTCGTGTGTGCGGAAAACAATTAAGTTTACCATTAAATAATAAAAATAACCAAACTCATATAGATACTTAAAAATAAGATAACTAACAAGTATTATTTTATTTATTGAAATACTCTATGTTAAATATTAAATAAAAAGACGGCTCCGTTCAGATTTAACTTAATAAATTATTGCAATTGAACGAACACTGCAGTTCCAAACCCATTATACACATAAAAAATTCGATGGTCTTGATTAGATGTATTATTGACCACTACTAATACGTTTAAGATAAATAACCGTCTGGTGTTTGAAATATAATAATACAATTTGTATTTCTATCAGAACGGGGCGGGGTAAGGTTAATCCACAAAGATTATAATTAAAAGAGGGTGTATGGAAAGATAACGAAAAAAAAACTACAACCCAGAGATGACTATCGTTCGGTAACATTTTGAGAGATTTAAAGATGAAAACGCGGACCTGGGTCGAGTTATCCAATAATGTTATCAGCAGGATAATGTGAATGCGCCGGGTCCCATCAGTTCTCGTCTAATCTGTACGACTCATCTGGGGAGTCCAACCGAGATGATAGAGCACGAACTATCAAACATCATCAAGGGCAAACCTATATAACCAGTCTACCCAAGTATATGCATGAATACATTCACGCATATGAAATGTGTGTATTATCGCAATTATGAGATAGGTTCAGAACCAAATGTGTGACAAACAACAATTTCTTTTTTTCCATTTCACAATGTACAGTACAAAATATATCATACCATAAAATCCATAATTATATTATTCTCAAAAAGTAATAATTATAAAAGATAATTATTAAAGTAAACACACGATACGATAGGTTTGTTGGAATCTGAATATTACTGATTGATATTGAAAAGAAAAATGTGATTTTTAATATAAAAAAAAAAGTATAATTTTCGAGATACTTAACGAAAACAAAATAATTAAAACTACTAATATATATATATATAATCCTAAAGGATATTAGATTGACACACATAAGTATTTTTATCAGTTATAACATAATGAGTTTTAATATTTCCAATGAATTCATAATTTCAACGAATAAAAAAATAAAATAACTAACGAAAAAAAATTTGGGAAATAATATTATTGCCTTTATATTAATGTCGATAACAAACATTTACACCAATAATTTTATCGGGGTCACGTCTTTAAGACTCAAGACGGATAATCGGCAATTGAAGATTTAAAAAAAAAAACGGCACGATACCCAAGTCAGCGATTATCGTACGCGACACTCAACGTCCACGTGTTCGGGCGGACCACTCGATAACTCTTGATAGATATCTACTCTTATTTTATAGTGTCTATCCCTCTCTTTTTTTCTCTCTATCTCGCACACATCACACACACGGGTTTCATTATTATAATAATGTTAACTTTTTTTTTTTTTTAATTTTATCATCGAGACCAAATCCTCTTTGCGCGGTTTCTCGACACCACGTTAATAGATATACCACCTATACGCAAATCCGTTATTGCGATTCAAATTTAAACGTGTTAAAAACATTACGCAAAAAAAAAAATAATGATAAAAAAATATAATTAATAAAGTTTAGTTAAAATATAAATAAGCTCGCGCGCGCACACGTAATGCGTTATAAGTTCGACAGATTAGCTCGTTTCGTTCTTACGTTTCAGCGGCTTCGGGTTGCTCTGTTTCCTTCTGGACATGGCGGCTGCGGTTTTCCTTCGACTAATCGTTGGCGACGAGCATCTCATACGCAACTGCTGGTCGTTATCAAATGTTGTCGGCAGCGGCAACGACAACCGTGGTGGCGATGGTAGCAGCGGCAGCGATAAACGACGCGACGCGTTTTTCAATATTTACTTGACGCTCGCGCGCGAGCCAAGATGGAGATAACGCGGCGCGACTACGATACGGGGCCCCGACCGATTGTCGAAACGATTACGCGGTGGTCATATTTTGTTTTTTTTTCCACGATCTCGACCGATGAACACGCACCACCGAGTAATATTAGGCTCAACGATGATTACAACAACAACAACAAAAATAATGATAACAGTATTGCGCGCACACGCGGCAAGGTCTCGGAAGTCGCAACGAGCGTTGTGTTGATCGACGAGATGTCGTGCGGCGGCGGCGGCGAATCGAATGAGACACGATAAGAATGATTACTACTATTATTAACGAGTTAGGTGGTAGCAGTAGTGGTAGTGGTAGTAGTAGTCGACGGACCTTTTGGTCTCGCGAAACGATTAATGAGAGGAGGAGAACCGGAGGAAGGAGTTCGCGGAATTACGAAAACCAAATTTAACGACGCGGTTGTCGACTCGGGAAAACGAACGTGTGAATAAAAAAAAGTAAACGAATAAAACCGTCGTCGAAGTTTTACGTCACGCGTTCCGTATGAATATGTATCGCGTTCGCGTTGTGATTTATACGAAGAGCAGAAAAAAAAAACGAACGCGCACGCGCTCAATCGACGAACGGTAACGGAACAACAGACCTTACGAGTCGGACGCGGCAATGCGACTGGCGACGGCGGCACACAGATACTGTACTACTACGACGGCGGTGGCGGCGGCTGCTACGACGGTGGCGGCGGCGTTATCGGAGAACGAACCCACATATTATTATTATTATTATTGTAATGTAAAACGAATATATAATTTATATGTATTCATTTATGTGTATTTATGTATGTTTATTCAGATATATATATATATATGTGTGTGTGTGTGTGTGTGTGTGTGTGTGGGTGTGTGTGCGTGTCGGTTCGCGTTCATGTGATAATGAAATCACATACAAACACGCACACATACGCACATGGACACGATTTTTATACCGTTTTCTCTCATTATTCTACGTCCTTTACAATTATTGTTATTATTATTACTAAACGGATATTTTTTTTGATTGTTTATAAAAATATTTTCTGTTATACGAACGACCGTAGTGGTAATCAATGAGAAAGTTGATTCCATAGTGAGCAAACAATACGAACCGGAACGATCGTTGACGAGTAGGATTTCATTTGAAAAATGAGTTTTAAAATATTTTAAATTTCGTTATTTTCGGTTTCAGTAAAAAAAAAAAAAAAAATGTATGTAAATATTTTACATTCAACGAATACACCGATGACTTTTTTCTACAATCCAGTCGATCACGTCACCGGTATTTGATGTTTAGACCTATTGTAGGAAATTAATGAACGGTGTAATTCAATCGCATTTTTTTTATGTAATTAATGTAAAGGCCAAAGCGATTTTCTAATTTACTTCAAATACTAGGATACCAAATGTTTAAAAATATTTTACTACATTTCATATTACATTACAAGACGAGTCCGCTACAAGTAAGATACAAATTAAAATGAAATGCATTACGGAAACTAAGTATTTATAAAAGGGAGAAAGAAGGATTGGTATTGGCAATGCGCAATAGACGTATGATTGGAATTGTTTAGAGTAGTTTAGTTTTTAAAGTAGTTTATGGGCGAGAAAGAAATGTGGAAGGGAACATATAATCTTGGACGGTGGACAGAAACATTGAAAAAACCCTAAATAACGATTCAGGGATATAAATTTACGAAGAAGTAGATTAGACAGCAATATTTGCAGAATATATATTTGTGTATATGCAGAATTTCGACGATCGAAAATACTTTCTACGGATAAAAGACGTTGTACTGGTGTGTAATCGTGGGGTGGACAGGGTATATTCAGTTTCCAAGCAGCGAGACGAGGGATTTTTCTTTGATTAATATTTCATGTACAATCAAATGTTTTTACACAGCTCAAATTCTAGTCCTTAGGAATTATCATCTCTGATGACCTCTACTGGTGGGTGTGTGAACCACGGGCAAGACCGTAACTGAAAAAAAATTTCGGGAGATGGGTCTAAATTATTATTAATTATTAAATTATTATTAAATTATTAATTATTTTAATTATTAAATTATTACAATTTATAGTTAATAAACTATATTCATCGCTAAAATGTTTCTACTTTTGAAAATTTCGGGGTGGTCCGTCCACGTGTATGTATGTACATATATAGGAATCAGGTACCAGCATAGAACTAATATATATATATATACACGTGCGGATGTGACATGTGTACTGCAGTTGCATCTGAGGGCTGTACGGCTATAGTTACAGAAACAATAAATTATAAAACACCTACTCGTCCGAGGACGTACAATTACTTACGTCTTTTAGTACGATAAGGTTATTGTTTATGTACTTATATGCCATAGATTTTATTTAAAATTATTTGTTTTTGTTTTCGTCTTAGATATAACTATTATTATTATATGTATATACATATACCAGACTCGTATATAGATGTACAGATGTAAGTAAACATAGTTAAATGTTTAAGTTCGACAGAATAAGAAACTAAATCATTTAATTGACGTTCAGGTCATTCAATGAGTATAATAATTATACTCATTAATTATTAATGGAGTTTGACGAATTGGTATTTTCAAAATTAAATTTAATGTACACATATACATAATAACAATATTTCATTTTAAGATGGTATTCACATATTTGAGTATATATTAGTACTAAAAACAAAATTAGAAACAAGAATAACAGATACCTATTGTATATGTATAAGTACACTCAGATTACTTGGCTGTGCAGGGGCCCTTGGGCACACATAGTTTAGGGGTTCTTTTAGAAGCAAGAGTACGATTGCTATCAATTTCCAAATTTTGGAATATAAACATTTGGAATTCGAAACGGTATTTTTAGACTTATTTCTTTGTTCAAAAACGTATCAACAATATTATTTTATCATAGAAATATAAAAATAAATAATCTTGTAGCCGTCTGTCATTGTCTGTCGATAACTTGTTGTTAATCAAATTTATCGCTAAAGAAAAAATCGTCGTATTCATAACATTTGAATTTTGTGTTGAATATTATTCATTATTATTTTTAAATTATTACTTATTATTTAAGCATAACAGTCAAAAATTTAGCTGAGATAGGTTGTGTCAATATGTTATAACTTAAATGTATACTATGTACATTAAACGTATTTTATAAATTATATTTTTCTGAACGTCTGTTGGTCGGGAGTTCTAGGCTCGTACCTCACGTGCCCTTAAATTAAAGACAGTATCGTATATACATTTATGCCGTATGGCGATCCATAGATGATAAATAAAACGAAATAGTTATAATTAGTTTTGACAAAAACCATAATAAAGTGAAATATTTTTTTTATTATAGCTTAATAGTTGAATGCGAATTCTTAAATACCTACTTAAATTTGACCCAATACCTAATAATTAAGTAAATATGATTACAGAAAAAATAAATTCTTATCGACGAAAAAAAAATTAAGCTATATCTAATCTTTCACAATATATATAAGAATCAAAAACAATACACATTGATAGTGTTTCTTAAAGGGTGTTGTAATACTGCCGTTTCGTGGCACATTGGTGCCGTTATAAGTTTTCCGGCAAAACTATTCTCCGGGGCCTAAAATTACTTGTGAATTTAGTAGAATACAATAAGTGAGATAAAATTCTGTTATAGCTTAAAATTGCTTCAATAACAGTGTAAAAATGTTATTTGGGAACCACTAGAGTAATAAATAATTATGTCTACATACCTATATTCGAATATTAACAATATTATTAATATTTATTATTCTGTCATATAAAGTGTTTGTTTTCATTTTATCAAGTATATAACCGAATTTGTGCAACAAAAAAATAATTAATTTTCTCGATTTGGTCTTAAGTTTTTGAATTCTCGATTTCTTACAGTTGGTTTTAAGTCGTATACGAATTTACATTCCAAGATACTGGAGCAATACCAAAGTGATTCAAAGGACTTTTATCACAAAAAAAATTGGTAAACATAACATGCAAAAATTAGTTTCCAAGTTAAGTATTAATGGTACCTATTATAAATATTGACCATACCAAAATATCGAATCTTGTATCAGCAATGTAGTACCTATATCGATCGCAAAAATGATGAATAATCGAATGGTTTTAAAAACGAAAAAATTGCATAGCAATAAGAGAATTGTTTTTTTAATTTATTTTCATGTATATACATATATAGTGTCATAGGTTACTCTACTGTAGACATAACAATGAATGTATCAGTGATTAGTGCAAAATGACTAAAATTTTCAGTCACACAGCCAGAATAACAGCAGGTCACATTCTTTTCACACCGTAAGCCACGTTTTCTACGTATATAAACGTATATATATATAATAACCATAATACATATAAATTTATTTTATATTGGAAAAACTTGTACTACCCAAAGTCTTTATATAATTTAATAAAATTATTATTCCGTAGTAAGTAGAATTACATCATTTAAATTAACTTTACATTTAGTACACAGAAAATCTTTTTTAGCACATTTTAAGAAATCCAAAAAAAAAAAAATAAAATAACATTTCTCAAAAATATAAATTAATGAAACTACACGCCTTTTTAGGGCCCCGTGCATTGTAACAAAAACACTTTTATTTTCATATAATTAATTAAACTTGTACATAAACTAAAATTCAAGACGATGTAATATAGTCAAGCATGGTAATGGAACATGATAATGGAAAACCATATTTTTCGGATCAAAAACTTAAATGTCGTAAAAATCAATAACGTCGATTTGAAATACTGTCAAGTAGTTTATTATATGCATGACACAATCTCATACATAATAATATGGCAGCATATGAATTGTGTCTCTAGAAAAAACAAAATACGTCGTGACAATCGCATTGCGTGCGTGGTTTTCTCACAACACGGTTTTTCGACGACGGTTTCGAGTTGCACCCGCAATGATAATGGTGGATATTATATTATATTGATACATTATTTATAAGTATAGCACAAAGTCGTAAACAAGGAGGGATGTTAGACCCCCCCTCCAGGAATATTTTATTAATATATAACTGAATGATTTTAAATTCCTATTACATTTAAAATTTTAAAATTTGCTAGCCAAAAAAAATATCTATACTTTAAACCCATCCCCTAGTAAAAAAATATAAAAAATATTTATTAGTCTATGGCCTTGGTATTGCATATATTAATATTAGTTAAATGGATAAGGCGACAGCAATCATTGAATAATGGAAAATGTTGAAACTATTAAAATGTTAAGTAGAAAAAAATTAACAATTTTATATTATAAACAGAACGATTTATTTTCTAATTGTTTTTAAACAGTTATGTTCAGAGGTAGTCTTAATATATTGGCATGATATATCAGGCGCATACACAAAAAAAAAATTTTGGATGGGTTTTAGGTTGTACATTTTCATAATAATATAATCTATATACCAATTTTACTATATAAAAACATATTTAACCATTTTCCTGAATTTCGGGAGGGGTTTGAACCCCTAAAATCCCCCCTTGTGTAAGCGTCTATGATATATCTATAATATTATTGCATCATTTGCCATACATCCTATACATACGTATAATATACATATATTTCTAGCCACACCATATTGATAATGACAGTAAGCAGTATTTAAAAATGGGAAAGAAAGT